CCCCCCTGAAACTTGCTCATGGCCACCCAGGAGGTCCCAGACCCCTGGTTGAGAACCTCTGCCTTAGAGCACATGTAGCCCAGTGCAAGTTTGAGGATGTAGACATCAGGTTTGTTAAAAATGTGACTTTAAATTAAAATAGAATGAATCCTAAATAAAGTCTAAAAGCCACAATACACTATTAGAAAGAAGGGTGGATATGTGATTATTAGGACAGAGATTATTTCTATAGGGATTGTTAATACTTTAGGAAAGACACTTCACTTACAGAACACATACAAAAATGGCACAGTTTACTGTAATGGAAAATTACTTATCCTATTAGAATGTAAGTATAAGGGTGAAATATTCATGGTGTGAATGTATAAGATAGGGGAAGCAGACAATAAGCCTTCTCTTCTTGTACCCCCAGCTCAGAAATTGGTCACAATCACAGTCCTTCAGCTCACCTGATCCCATGGCCCAATCTCTTCATGCTCTGCAGCAGCCCACAGAATAGATCAGTCACCGAGAGGAAGCAGGCTTCACCAGTCACATTCACAGAGTGGTCAGAGAGGAACTGTGGCAATTACTTGGGCTGATGAGATTTGTCATGTTGTGTATATATTTTTTCCCCTAAAAGTGCACCAAAAATACATAAAGAAGTCACTATTAAATGCTCAGCAGTTACTTTATCCTAAGCAATAATATCTCAGGTAGCACAATATTTCCTTACACTTGGAATAGAAAACAGTGGTATCTCAGATATTGTGTATTAACTATGGGTAAATCTTGACTATGGAGGAATCCTCCCACTCAAACTATGGAGGAGGAGAGACACTACTTAGAGAGGCTACTTCTAATGGCTGGAGTAGACTCCTCAGTCTTACTGATCAACCATCATAGAGAAAAGGACCTTGCATGACTTCCTGAAATTACTACCCTTCCCTTGACTCTTGTACCTAGAGAGGGGGGATGGGCAATATTTGGCTTTACAGACAGTTCCTTATCCACACCCTAACATTGCTGCATGAGTCTATTCCCAGCACTACCTACATTTCTGCTCCTTTTCATCCAACACCTCTATTTTCTATCTATGTTTCTCTGTGATTTATCACTCAACAGCTTCCTTTATCTTTCTCCCATTCTCTCCTTCACCTCTTCTTTCCAGTACCTCTTTGGCCCCAGTTCATCCATCCCTGTTTAGCAAAATATTTCAAAAGGGGCTTAATTTAAAGCATGTGCTCAAGTCCCATTCGGGTTCATGGGACTTAAGCACATCTAACTTAAGTATATGCTTAAATGCTTCACCAAGAACCAATAGATTCCTAAGGATTCCAGGAGCACTTTGTCACCATCTATTAATTGGATGGGGTCTTGCATGATTCATCATGAAATGTGCTAATCCTCTTGTAATTAACACCCTATTATGGTCAGCAAAGGTCAAGGAAGCAGCCATATTTTTAAGATTTAGTGACATTTCTTGCTTTCCCTCCTCTTAGGAAGAAAGAGGGCCTTTGTTGTGAAGGTTTTTTTGATAGATCTGTAAGTTTATTTTCTTCCATCCTTTTCTTGCAAATGTTATGTTTGCTAGACTAAGCACACCAGCCCCATTATAGCAGCAGCTAAATGGAGCGTAAAGGTTGTATTAAAACATTTACAGTATCTTGTAGTGAGTAACACTGAAATGTTTAAAATCACTGAGTCAAGTTTTCATTTGTCTAAATAACTGTTATGAAAGTTCAGGGATAAAATCACAGCATCTTGCACAGAATATGCCTGTCAGAGAACAGCCAGAAAGTTAAGGCTTTAATTTCATCATCATCATCATCACCTGTCCCACCAGTTCCTTTGGATAATTATACATTGCTGTCCCTGGACTGAATCACTCCTTCCCATGAGAAAGAGGTCCATGGTGAGGAAAACTGAAGATTTCTGTGATAGTGTCATAGAATCATAGAAGATTAGGGTTAGAAGAGACCTCAGGAGGTCATGTAGTCCAACCGCCTGCTCAAAGCAGGACCAACCCCAACTAAATCATCCTAGCCAGGGCTTTGTCAAGCCGGCCCTTAAAAACCTCTAAGGATGGAGATTCCATCATCTCCCTAGGTAACCCATTCCAGTGCTTCACCACCCTTCTAGTGAAATAGTTTTTCCTAATATCCAACCTAGTCCTCCCCCAGTGCAATTTGAAACCATTGCTCCTTGTTCTGTCATCTGCCCCTGTCATACCTGAGCTCACACAAAACCACTGCTGTATGCCCAGCTGGGCACAAAAGACAAAAAGGTTTTATTTGGCTGTTGCCCCTTTCTGGCAGGGCACCACTTGCAGCAGTCTTACTCAACATCAGTAGGCAAGACAAGGTAGCAAATCAAACCAAGAGTCCTGCATCAGGCCTACGCTCTCTCAGGGAGGCTCTGGCAGGCAGTACTCTCTAGTTTCTGGCCCCAGTCACACTTCTCATAGAGCAAGCCCTACAAGTGTGCTCCCCCACAGCCACCAAATGAGTTATGTGCTCAGCTCCCCTTTTAACCCCTTCTTCCAAGCCTGACATGTATTGCAGGCATAGCAAATTAGGACTGATTGAGCTTATAGCAGTTCATTAACTCTTTCCTGGCCTGTGTGAGTTCTGCACATCCTGTCACAATCCCTCACAGAATTTCTCCCCCACCATTCAGATGGGAGGGTGGGATTTGATCCTTACAGAATGAGCTGGGGGTCTACTCTCAAGCCCCATAGACCTGTAGGAAACCAATTCAGTAGCATGGAAGTTCTATGCCTCTGAATTGAGTCTGTTCCCTGACAGCCCCTCTTCCGGGTAGCACAGCTCTAGTGGGACTATGCTAACAGGGACTCGCACTGACCACTGCTGCTCTGGGGACCCTTCGCTGCAGAGATCATTGCAAGAAAATGAATAAAGCGTGAGTCTGGTGACTATCTGCAAAGTTGGTTGGGGGTACGAGGTGAAGGCTTCGAAAAGTGCATTCTTCCAGCCCCAACCATTACAGGTCTGCACTCTACCTATCCCAGTCCCTTCCTACTCCCTCTTTGCAGATACCAAATTTTCAGAAAGCAGATTGGGATGGAGGTGCTCTACCATGGAAGATCCCCTTTACACACTAGAGAGCTGTTGGTATAGTCTGTGAGAGTCGCTCTGTTCTGGAACTCACCCCTTTCACTTGATCTGCCAGCCACCAGATGTATTAGCCTTCTAGACATGCTGCAAAACCCATCCTTTTTCTCTCTTCTCTCAGGTTGCTGAGAAGGAACAGGGAAGGCTGAAGTGGATGGATTTATGGGCAGTCCAGGTTTAAGTTGTTATTGTTAATATATGGGACAACCATCTAGAGCATCAGATGGGTGCCTATAATTTAGAAATGTAAGGTAAGAACTGAATACATAGGGATGTTGGGAGCATGAACTGGTTGATTAGAAGGAATATTTTTCTGATATTCAGCCTAACCCTTCTCCTTCTGAATTTTGTCCCATTACTCTTAATTATACCTGCCCTTACCACCTTGAAGAACTTGGCTCAGCCCTAAGCAGTGTAGTTGTTGTAGCATGTCGGTCCCATGATATAGATATTATAGGTGGTCCAATAAAAGATATTACCTCACCCACCTTGTTTCTCTCAGTCCTCATTGTTTAAAAGGTTGCCTTCCCTCCAGTAAGAAAATGGTTTAGATGAAATTTCAGCTGATACCTTTCCTTATACACATTTCCCATAGCCATTTCATCTGAGAAAAATCTGGCAACTTTGGAACTCAAACCCACCTGAAAGATGTAATATTTGGGGGGAAAGCCCCTGCCTGCTTAGCTCTGTTTGACTTCTTCCATTTGCTTGTGGCTGTCAGGACATGTGGGGATATATTTACACCTGCCTCAAAGAAATGTTAAATATATTAAGGCAGCCACTGACGCTATTATAGCTATCAGAAAGGAAGCCCATTATTTTTATGGTGCCTGGATTTTTGGCCATCAAATTCAGTGTTGCCATTGCTCGTGGTTTTATTGTGATTCTCTTGCTATCTGATGTTCTTAAAGCTCTTGGATTCATGTGATTAGAAGATAATTTCAGCTTTTATTTAGAAAGAAGGTAAGTTTATAGCTCCCATGGCTGAGGAGAAAAACTTGAAAACCTGAACCCTAAAGGCTTTAACACCAGATGGCAAATCTCCCCTCCCGCTCACCCCCGCACACCACCTTTTTAAAAAATCTTAATGATATTTAAGCCAACATCATGATTTTTTTTAGAGCTCATGGTTTTTGAACATTTGGTGTTAGTAATGCTGCAAGCTGCACTTAAAGGTTTTCTTGCTCCAATGTTGCAGAATGTTGAATACAGAATTTCACTAGGGTCAAATAGCACCTCTCTGCAGAGACCCAGCAAACCTAAGTGCCTGCCTTACAACAGTCTCTGTAGAATAATAGTTTTCTTTGCAGAAGGTTTAGTAGAATGCAATATGCTGTTTAAGTTTTAGGTGTCCTCTATATACAAGGATCACACTTCCAAACTTCACACGTGCCAAGCCATTTATTTATTTTATGGCTTTGTTTGCAAAAGAGAGGGCAATAGGTACATTCTGTAAAAATGTGTATGTACTTGCTGTGCCCATGCATTTGCCAGCAAAAATCATTAAATGCCTGTGCAAAATGGATAATTTGTGCATGGACACAGATACTTACAAGCCATTTGCAAATATGGGAGCTTTGCAGCCTTCCTTGAAAATCTGTCACCGTAAGGAGATGCTTTAACTCTTATTCTAAGATAATGAACTCAAACACTGCAGCTTATAACAGTTACTCCGGTGTTTAGGTCTTTTGCTGTTGTATGTTCTGGCATTTTAGAGAAGTGTTCAAAATCTAATAAGAAAGCTATCTGAAACTGGCTCTTTTGCGTTTCATTACATATTCTAAAACGGGGGTCCACTTCTGTGAAAACGGGAGCCCCGGGTGGGGAGCTAAGTGGAGGACCCATTTTCTCGGACTGCGGACACCTTTGCCGAACTGAAATGCTGGGCAGGGGAAAGGATCCCACCAACCGAAACTGGGGAGCGTCCCACGCAGCTCGGGGATGTCACAAAGCCAGCTGGGCTGCGGAGTCCCGAGCGCTGGGGAACAAAGTCACGCCGGAGAGGACAGCTCCCAGCGCGGCTCTGCGCGCTCCCCGGCGTCACAAGTGCCTGTGTCTTGAGGCCACGCGTTAGCCGCGAAGCTGGCAAGCAGCAGCAGTGACAGCCGGGAGGCAGCAGGGAGAGCGCGCCCCATAGCCCCTGCCGGCCGGCCGCAGCTCGCTCCCCTCCCAGCCCGGCTTCCCGCCAGCTCCGGCTGCTGCAGCGCGTGAGGCTGTCCCGGGACCGGGGTGGCTCGCGGTGCCTTAGCACCAGCATCCTCCACCCCGCCAGGCGCAGGCACAGAGTTAAAGCGGGGCCGGGCTGCTCTGCTGACCGCTGGGGCAGGAGGCTGCGGGGGACTGAAGGGAGGAAGCCCCCAGCACCCCTCCGAGGGGCAGGGCAGCCGCCCTCTGGGCAATGCAACTCCCGGCGCTGCGAGCCTGGCCCCTCTGGCTTGGGCTGGTGCTGCTGGGCTTGAAGGCAGCGCCCTGCCAGCAAGGTAAGGGGTGGCGGGGGTGTATGCTGGGTGCAGCGGGTGCTGGGGGTGTGTGAAGTAAGATATGGGGGGCGGAGGGGGGGCTTCTGAGCAGCCTTGGAGCTGTCCCTGAAGCAGAGACTCCAAAGTTATGGACAGACTGGGACCAGCTTAAAGGGGGGGGGGCAAACCCACCCTGAAGCTCCCCAGGCCCGTGCCACTCAGGTGGGAACCCTCCACCCCGCTGCTTCCCCAGTTCTTTCAAGTCCCTTGTACCATTAGCTGTTTGCCCAGAGGGGGCGCTAGCCCACTGGGGGCCCTAAGCAGGAACATTTTGGCCCCCCTCAACACATAAAAACCGAGAGTGGAGGGGTCTTGAGCTGCACAGGGTCCTAAGCAATTGCTTAGTCTTCTCCCTCCCTTCACTTGATACTTTGTTCAGAAATTTTAAACTCCCCCCTCCCCATGACTTCTGCCAATTGTCTTTCTGAAAGCCAGGTTTTGCCAGGAACTCCCAGCTTCTGCTTTGTTCAGCAGGTTCAGGGGTGGCAGGTACTTGCTCCTGTTCTTCCTTGGGGCGGGGGTGTTATGTCTCCAATGTTGGGAAATGAACTACTCTGCTAGAGCTGGTGGGCTTATGTCTAATGGGAGAGGGTGCTTCTCCTTATCCACTTCAGTGGCTTCAATATTGGAGTCACACTTGGGCTTTGGTCAGGGCTGGTGCTACCATTAAGGCGAACTAGGCGGTTGCCTAGGGCGCCAAGATTTGGGGGCGCCAAAAAGCGGTGCCCCCAATTTTTTTTTACAGCGTTCCTCCCCGAGCACATGGTCGCCGCTCCACTTCTCCCGCCTCCCAGGCTTGCAGCGCCAATCAGCTGGGGGGAGGGGGGCAGCGCAAGGTGGAAGTTTTGCCTAGGGCGCGAAACTTCCTTGCATCGGCCCTGGCTTTGGTGAAATTAATGTAGTATATTTAGTGGAGTGTACCTGTGTCTTCACCTTCATATGACTGAATCCATTCAGAAGCACCAAAGTTAGTTCATCTAAATTATTTTAGTTGTGCGCATTGTCCTAACCTGGTGACTATTCACTTAAAGGGCATTATTAAATAATTTAAGTGTGATAGCCATTATCTTTCTTTCATTATGGCAGCATAAGCACTGACTATTGCAATAAAGCTGACCAAGGTGTTGGGGAAAATACTATTTAACTCAAGTTGATTTTCAGACGACAGTAATGCCCAGGGCTTTGTTTACACTAGCACTTTTGTCAGTAAAACTTTTGTCAGTCAGAGGTGTGAAAAAACACACCCCTGACTGACAAAAGTTTCATCGACAAAAATGCTGGTGTGGACAGCGCTGTGTCGGCAGGAGATGCTCTCCCTCTAACATAGCTACTGCTGCTTGTGGTTTAATGATGCCGGCGAGAAACTCTTTCCCGCCGGCATAGAGCGGCTACACGGGAGATCTTACAATGGCGTAACAGCAGTGGTACAGCTGTGCCACTGTAAGGTCTGTAGTGCAGGCAGAGCCTAATTGACCCATTAGCCATGGGTTCTTCAAGCACATATATACATTAAGAGCCTGATCCAATGCCAATTGATTTTAATATAAAGCCTCCCATTAACTTCAACAGGCCTTAGTAAAAATACTGTTTTACCAGTCTCCAGCTGGAGCCATGCACTCCAAATCATGAAGATTCCAGTCAGTAGTGTTCCCCCTCTTCTCCTTTGTTTCCACTTAAATTTATATTTGCTTTCAAGTCTGGTAGTTATATATAACTAACTTTAGTGGAAGCGGGAACTTTAATGAACTAGAGAAATTCTGAAAAATTCTTTTTCAGTACTACATTGCTGTTACAATCAACATCTAGAAAGGAAATGCACAATTTAAAATCGTTTAACATTCTTAACTTCTCTCCACTCTTTTCTTAAACATGCCCTATTATCTTTAAATATTGAAGCACATATGGTATGTATTGTCATACCCTGACCTGAGACCTCTGCAAAACCAAGAGTTAAGGATTATTGTGAGTTATAAGATGTCTTAAATATTTGTTATTTTCTCTTTAAGTATTTTTTTAGGGAAAATCCACATAAGGAATTGTTAGAATAATATGTTATATGCTGAACCATTATACTGTATTATGTTAACATGTTTACACATTTTTAAGTGTCTTATATAAATGTTTAAGAAAGTTAAAAACGTAAGTTCTCAACATGATAGGCTGCAAGAGTTCTAACATCTGTAACAATTTAATTCATAATTAAAACTAGTGCAGTGACTATTTTTATATATCTCACTTCTAGTTTTTTGAAAGAGTGATTTTATGGAAATATGTATGATTTCATCTTCATTGCCTAACAGTGCTGCTATGGATAAAGGCTCTGTAATAGTTCTATTTTATATATCACAGCTATTAGGATAGTCAATGAGACAGTAGTAAGCACTTTCCTGGATCAGTGCCAGAATGCTCAGCACCTTGCAGGATCGAGCCCCTAATGAGTAAGTCTTGGCACAGGAAGTGTGGCAATCCTGGAGAAAATGTTAGAATAAATACTAGAACTGAGAAACAATGAGAGTCAATACTGAAACTGAATCTTCCTTGAAGCTCAGAGCTTTCTATTAAATAGTGGTGTGGATACATGGGAAAGTGTGCAGGTGTTTGGGGGAAATGCCCATTGAATATGAAAGAGAAACTCAAATTCCAGCAAATATTTGCATATTTCCCCATAAGTGTCACTGTACTGTTTTTCATCAGAAAATATGTGCTATAGTATCTAGACAAAATAGGAGAGTTTGAGTTTCTGGAGCCAATTTTCATGATATTGGTTTTTGTAATTTTGTAAATTACGCCAATGTAGCTCCAGTGATTTTAACTGAATTATTTCTGTTTTGCATCTATGAGAGAGGAGAATTAGGTTTCCAGTCTGAATTTTGGATTTCTTTATTTTAAATTAAAGTCAAGTCTGTGATGTTACTCTACTGTGCAGTTTTATAGTTTAACTGTAAGATTTCTTTAATTATCCTAAAACAAATAGTTAAAATGTAAACTTTCTACTAAAGTACTTAGTCTTACTAAACATGGTAAGATTTTTTAAATGTCCCTCCCTCTCCCCCCAAAAATAGAGAGAGAGAACAAAGATGAATCTTTTGATGTATCTGAATGTAATGCATTCCATCAGGAAAAGATGATTTTTCACATAATGGCATATTTTATTATATTGCAAATTAAGCTCTTGAGGTTACTTCTTATTTTCCTGGAGTGTCATTTTGTGACTATTGCAAATAGGTTCCTCCAATGGCATGTCTTAATTTGTTTTCAATATCTATATATACAGGGCCGTCCCTAGCTATTCTGGGGCCCTATGCAGCCCCCCCCCCATGGGGGGGCAGGCTTCTGTGGGAGAGGAGCAGGGGGCTGTCCCCAGGTCTCCGTGGGGGCGGGGTGGGGCTGTCTTGGGGGGCGGGGGGTACCACCCCCCAGCACTCACTAGGTGGCGCGGCTGGGGTGGGGTCTGCACTTCTTGCCACCGGTGAGTGCACGCCCGGCCATGCTGCAGAGCTCAGGGAATTGGGGGCGGGGCTGGGGCGGGAAGAGGCGGGGCTGGGGTGGGGAAGGGACGGGGCAGAGGTGGAGCAGGGCAGGGGCCCTGGGGAAGAGGCGGAGCAGGGGCTGGAGCAGCTGCGCTGGTGCCCTACGCAGCTGCATACTTTACGTGTGGGTAAGAATGGCCCTGTGTATATATTTGCACATTTGTATATTAAAACATTTCCTACATATGCCCCATGATAGGCAGTGCTGGTAGCGCTGCCTATAGTTAAGTTGCCTGACACTTTCCATTATAAGACCCAGTTTTCAGTTGCTTATAACTTTGCCAGTTTTAACTTTTAAGGTTGAAATTTGCCAGGTGTTGGCCTCAGGCAGAACTTTTTTGGAAAGTTTCAGCAAAAAGGTTAATCTATTTCTGAGAACAAGATTAGAGGAAAATGTTGTTTGGCCCATGTTAAAAATATTTATAATTGTTTAAGTGAGACTCTGTAGTGTCTCCGTGATTTGGAGCAGGCAGTTGAAGTTTGGCACAGAAGGCAAGTCACCATGGTGTCTCAAAGTGACTTTTTCTGTCCTTGTCAGAATCCATCAAAATTTGACTGAGTTATAACCCTTTGAAAATTACTGTTTGCGCAGGCTCAGTTGAGAGTTTTGTTAGTCTCTGGGCAGCAAAATTTCTCCAAGTTTTCTATCTGTAATGAGCATGCAGGGCTGGCTCCAGGCACCAGCAAAGGAAGGAAGTGCTTGGGGCGGCCAATGGAAAGGGGCGGCAAGTCCAGGTCTTCGGCGGCAATTTGGCGGCGGGTCCTTCAGTCCCTCTTGGAGCGAATGACCCACCACCGAATTGCTGCCGAAGAATGAAGTGGCACGGTAGAGTTGCCCAGGGCCGCCCAGAGGATTCAGGGGGCCCCGCCGCCGAATTGCTGCTGAAGACCCGGCACTTCGGTGGCGGGTCCCGGGGCGGAAGGACCCCCCGCCGCGGGTCTTCAGGGCACTTCGACGGCTGGTCCCAGAGCAGAAGGACGCCCCGCCACCGAATTGCAGCCAAAGACCCGGAGTGGAAGAAGCCCGCTCCAGGGGCCCCGAAAAACTCTCATGGGGGCCCCTGCGGGGCTTGGGGCAAATTGCCTCACTTGCCTCCCCCCCCCCCCCCCGGGCGGCCCTGGAGCTGCCACCGAAGTGCCATCAATCTTTTTTTTTCTTTTTCCGCTTCGCTGCTTGGGGCAGCAAAAAAGCTGGAGCTGGCCCTGTGAGCATGGTTCACCCCTTCAGAAGTCTGTGCCAGCCACACTGAGCATGTTCTAACAAGGGACTTTCATTGTGCCTCCTTGCTGCTAGGGACACAGTTGTGCCAGGTACTGGAATTGGGAGCAAAGAAACTCTCTCCTGTGCTTTCAGTGCTCCCCTGTTAGGACTTATGCAGAAAGTGAGAACTAAGGGGAAGCAGCCTGAAACAGATGCAGAGGAAAGGAGAA